CTGGAGCGCAGGTGTGTCCTGGGGTATGGGGCCAGGGCCAGGCAGGAAGACAGGGACTGGGAACAGGGAGCAGAGAGAGTCCAGCTTCTGGGAGGAGGAGGAGGGACTGAAGTGCGGCTCTCCCAGCCCCATGTCCCCGGCAGGCGCTCCAGCTGTTTGAGTCCCATGCGGGGCACCTGGGTCCGGAACAATTTCAGGACTTTGCCCTGCCTTACATCCGAGACATCGCCCAGGCTGTCAAGAGCAAGCTGAAGGAGGAGACGCTGCCCCTGGTGCCCATGGTGAGTCAGGGCTGCTTGGATTGACCCTGACATCTTGGGGGCTGCTGGAGAGGGGTGCATGCCCTGGTACCTGCCTCCCCCAGTCTAGCTGGTGGAGAGGGGCCTGACCCATAGCGGAGTTACTGTCTGTCTTCTCCCTCCCCAGATCATCTTTGCAAAGGATGCACACTACGCACTGCGCGACCTGGCCCATGCTGGTTACGAGGTGGTCGGTCTCGACTGGACCATCCGGCCCCAGGAAGCTCGGTAAGAGTCTGGCAGAGCGCTCAGGTGCCTGGGCAGCACTCCAGGCTGGGTACCCTGACCTCTTCCTCTGCCCTGAGCCATCTCAGGCCTGGAGATTTCTGCTTGAGGTGGGGATAGTTGGACCCCCATGCTACGTGGAGCTCACAGCAACCAGGGGCTGCACTGAGGGGCACCTTGTGCCCTGTGATGGGGCTGCAGGCACCTGGCTGCGCCCAGCCTCTGCACCACACGCAACAACTCACCTGCTTCCTCCCTGCTGCAGTGCACAGACAGGGAAAGATGTGACCCTGCAAGGGAACCTGGATCCCTGTGCTCTCTACGCACCCAAGGTGAGCCATGGCCATCACCAGCAACAGGAACTATTTCTAGCCTGTGTTAAAGGCCTCCTGCCTCAGTTTCCCCACCTATAGTGCTGGCTCGTGTCCCAGCGGTCCCCTGGGCTGGCTGGGGACTGGTGGGAGTGGAGTACCCTGGGCTGGATGGGGCTGACATATGGTTTTCCACCATGTCTACAGGAGAAGATTGGTGAGTTGGTAAAGAAGATGCTGGAAGGTTTCGGGACCCAACGCTACATTGCAAACCTGGGCCATGGCCTCTACCCCGACATGAGCCCCGAGCACGTGGGTGCCTTCGTGGAAGCTGTGCATGCACATTCCCAAACAAGCACAGCTGAGCCTGGGGGCTTGGGGACAGGACCCCGGTTTGGGCACAGTCACCCCAAGTAGTGTGTTGTCACAGGGCTCACTCCAGGCTGGGCTGCACCATTAAACCAGCACCTTCTCCGCAGCAGCCGTGTGGCTCTGGCTGGGGGGATTGGGAACTGGACAGCCCTGGAGGAGATGGGCAGTGATGGCAGCCTGGCAGGGGGCATGT